AGGAAACTATTCAGATGTTTGGTCTACCAACATGTCAACCATCTGGAGGTTTCCAAAAAGAGTACTTAAATCTTTATTATAGCAATGTTTTGTGTTGTTGTTGTTGTTGTTTTTTTTCTGAATATTTCACCTGATAAATTCCTTGGAAAAAGTTTCATTTAAACTGGTTTTTGGTGATGATATGCCAGTTATACACAGCTGTATCTGTTACCAAATCTCTAGGCCCCTTTTCGGAAGATGCACATCTTTCCATGATAAATGAAGAATCATTAAGAAATTGAAAATTATGTAATAGGTCTTTTTCACTAAACTAAGGCTTGAAACTTAGAGCCTGAAGCCCCTTGAGTTAGGTGTTGCCCCTCTTCCCCATGATATACTCCAGTTTTTGAAGCTTGGATGTTACTAAGTAGAATTTGAAAGGGCCCTCTGTTCCTCATTCTGCAGCCCCATATATCTATATATTGTCTCAAGTAACTGAGGTAGAACATTCTTTGAGGGTGGAAAAGAACCAGAATCCTGACTGCTTTCCTTTGAAGTTTATAGGTATAATTCCATGTTGGATAGGCTGGAGTAGCCCTGATCAAGGCAAATTTCAGAAAGATACAAGGGATCTTTTAGGTAAAACAAAACAAAACACTTAAAGGTAGAGAAAAAGACCAGATTATATACCTGCACTTACTCAGTAGGGGAGAAGAGTGTGGAGACAGATTCATGATCATATTTCTAGGCTAATAGAATCCATCCTATTCTGATTACACTGATATGCCTTGGAGAAATGACTGCATGTATATGTCTTAAAAACCTTACATTTAATGTGCTCTAGTCAGTGGTATACTGGTAAAGTTTTAATAATTGACTCTCTGGAAAAACAAATGCATGTATGCACATAAGTACATATGTGTATTGTAAATTTTACTGGTAGAAAGGATGTGTGACATATAACTTTAAAATAATAAAATATGTGATATTCTTTATTGTAAATTCCATACAGCCACTAGGTTTTCACAGAATGCTTTCACTGATTTCTGTGGAAATTTATGTCTGAGGCCAAACTATGGTTGCATGTTATGTGTGATTGTAGTTCTGATATGAATATTAGTTCATATCTTTGTTTATGCAAATGAGTGAAATTGAAACAACAAAGAATGAATGACAATGAATTTTACTTATTTGTCAAAGATGTAAATTCTTTGTTGAACTGGACAAGAGTTTTCAAATACTGAAGGAGTAGTATCTCAGGGTTTTGTGCTATTCACATCATAATTGCTATAACAACTCATTTTTTTAAATTTAATCTGCATTATAAATTTTTTCCCTCACTTTCTTAAGTATAGACATAAGCAAATCAATAAACAATTAATAGCATTTGCTTATTTCTATAATATAATTTTCCCACCACAGTCCATTTCAAGCTACCAATGTGACATCACTTAACGTGCAGTTGAGGTGTACGGTTGATATATGCCCCGTGTGGGTGGATAGCACTGGCAACACACAGCTATGGTAGAACTAGTCAGAAGAGTAGGTTAAAATGTAGTGTAATAGGAAGTCATAAGTTTTGAGTATGCCCTTTGCTTTTGTGATGATTAATCGTGTCAACTTGCTTGCACCCTGAGGTGCCCAGATTAAACATTATTTCTGGTGTGTCTGTATGGGTGTTTCTGGATGAGCTTAATGTTTAAATCTGTGAGCTCAGTAAAGCAGATTGCCCTTCTCCATGTGGGTGCACGTCATCCAGTCTGTTGAGGCAGTGAGGACAACAAAGGGCAGAAGAAAGAGGAATTCACTCTTTTTATTTCCTGCGTGCCTACTTGAGCTGGGGCATTCCACCTCATTTTCTGCCCTTGGACTAAATTACACCACCAGCTCTTCCGGTTTTCCAGCTGCAGATGGCAGATTCTGGGACTCCTCAGAGTTCATAATCGTGTGAACAAATTCCTCGTAATAAGTAACTCTTCATAATAAATCTCAATCTCTCTATAAATACGTATATGCATATATAATATATAATAAATTATGTATATAATAAAATACATATATACATACCCATGACTAAGTACATAAAATACATATATCTCATTATATATGTATATACATTCTGTTTCTCTGAAGAACTCTGAGAAGCCTCTGAGAACTCCATAAGATTTAATATAATTTATTTAATTATAAATTTATACAGGATGGTTTCAAGTAATGGCTGTGTTTCATAATCAGCTCATAATATTCCTGAAAATCTAACAATCGACACTCACGTACTCACTGTCTATAATTTTTGCAAGTCAGGCAGTTTTAGTATAAGAAACCTTTATCTGAGCATAAAGTAGGGGAGGGAAATACGCCAAAAGAAACCTTTTTGCCCTGGAAGAATTGGCTGGAAGTCTGTATCCAACCAGTGGACGGCAAAAATATTGACAGTTCAAGCCTGTGGGCTATAGCATGGCTCTCAGTGACATCGGACAAGCAGCTTCAACTTTAGCCTTGGTAGTGCCAAGCCCAGCAATAATAGTGAGGCAGTGAAGGGGGAGATAGGCCACACCCATAAGCTGGGCTTTCTGGAAGGTTGTTCTTTTCAAAGCCCAATCTTTAGAAGTATGTCTTAGTTTCTGTTCTCCCAGTATAAACATCAATGGAATTTTGAGTAATTTTTTTGAGTAATCGTTAAAAAGTATTTAAAGAAAGAAACCTCAGGATGAAGTCTCATCTTATGTGACTGGCCTCAAGTCTTTTCATTTTGGGCGTTAAAAGATGATGTGACCTTTATTCATCTCCATATTGTGATGCCTGGTTTCTGTGGCAATATGGTTAGAGGACCATAGGAAAAATAGTCAAATTAATCATGTGAGACTTTAACACCTAACGCAAACCTACAACGAAACTCCAAAATATTTATTTTTGAAAATGACCACACACAAGAGGCTCAAAAAGTTGTGGTTTTATTCATTGACATTATAGGGTATGTTAAATCAACAGATGAATGAAGCATTCCTTCATGGTTAAGCTAAATTGTGAGCACTAAGACTTCTCAAAATTAACACTATATGTGATGGTGAGAGGATTATACATGACAAAATGAAAAATGTTTATGTTTAATTAATTTTGACGTGATACAGACAGACAACTATCACACTTCGAAGAGCAAGGGAAGTGGAATACTGAGGATCAGTACATGACACATGAATTCTGTTCTCCCTTCTTCTGCCAAAGTCTTCACTCAAGGGGTCTTATTTTGTCATGGGCTATACTAGTTAAATGAGAGTGGGGTAAAAACATAAGCCATTTGTAATTTTACAGTTCTGACTTGAGCTTGCATAATTTGAGGGGTTTTGGTCAAGGGTTAATTTCTTTCATTCTCCAAAGAGCAAAGCTAGGCAACAACCTTCACCATCCTTAAAAATACACTAAGGATCAGGCTTTAGAAAACGGGCAATTTCACTGAGTACATTTACCTGTTGGCTGGACTGATAAAAATGTAAAAAGTATAATGCCAAGTGAAAAGCAAAATATATCTAAGTACAAGATTCCTGGTATGTTTAGATTTCTTGATTCTTGTCCTAGCAAGTAGCATTTCAATGAAGTAGATTTTTTGATTCATTGTCTGATTAAAAGAAAAAAAATTGTAAGCCATGGTTATTACAAATTATAAAATGTATATATAACATTGATAACATTTATAAAATTTAAATAATACTAAGAACCCTACTGAGTGACAACAGCACTAGCTCCATTTTGTAGGTGAGAACACTCATTAAATAACTTGGTTTGAAGTCCCACAGCTAGTTTTGGGTGGAACTAAGAAAAGAACTGAAGTTTCCTGAGTCCAAGTCCAATTTCCCTTCTATGATACTAGATTGCCAATCTTGCCCAGTAATGAGATTTGCCCACTTATTATTCCAAGCCCCTGAGGAGTTGAACAGATATTTTTTTAGATGCTACGTTTTTGTCTCTGTGACCAAATAAGAAGATGAGCAAAATTTCCAGAATTCCCTGCAGAGTGGATCACACATGGGTTTCAGCAGGCCATGTCAAATGGGGCTTGCCAAAGGAATGAATGCTGCTCATGGTCTTAGGACCTGGCTGATCCTTTCTTTCTTTTTTTTTTTTAATTTTACTATGTTATGTTTTTCACCATACAATACATCATTAGTTTTTGATGTAGTGATCCACGATCCATTGTTTTCATAGAACCCTTTCTTAAGGAAGTGATCATTGATGGTGTCAATTATTCCCTTTATAATGTCTCTACAGGTTCAATTCCAGAAAAGATTCAGGGAAGGGGGTGGGGAGTAATAACACTTTCCATATATTTTATCCCAACTTTTTCCCCATTTATGATTTTTTGTTGTTCAGAGACTATTTTTCACTGAAATAAATACCATATTCAGTCAGAGCAGTTGAGTTCCCTAGCCCAACTGATATATGATTCTATAAAACACAAAAATAATACGTGGATTATAGCTTATTGAAACACCGTAAAAGAAGTAAAACCATCGAATCATATAGTATATGTTCTTAAATGTTATTGATTTTCTGACTACCTTGTAAGTTACAATTATCAGCTCTTAATCAAGAGTAAAATGTGCTCAACAGAAGGTTTTTTATAAATGAACTGTTCTTTCTCTCATCTTAGTTTGTATTAAACTCATCACAACCTAACGGAAATTTATACAGTTTTTAGCATAGATTTAAGCAGTCTTAATCTCACATCTCACAGATGACCATGTAGCTACTTTTCTCATTAGCATATTAGTATACACACAACCCTGAGTTGTTTTTGTTCAGTATGGTGGCTTTTTTGTTTTCCTTTCTGAAACTGAACTATTTTAAAAATGTGAAGTAAAAAAATTTTAAAAATAAATAATAAAAATTTTCAAAAAATTAATAAAATAAAAATGTGAAGTAAATTGTGTTTTAGTGTATTGCAGAACTCAGTGGTGCATCTTTCTCAAATCTGAAATAAAAGTGAGAAAATATTTTGAAACAAAAAAAGAGAAAAGAAGGTCTTACATGATATGGTTCAGAGTGTCTCCTCTACAATCAGCTTCAGATTTTAATTTACAGGTCATGGCCTCACAGCAAGGATTGGAACATTCCTTTAAAAGACACACAATGGAAAAGTGGGTTCAGCATTTTTTCTATAGACCAGGTGCATGCAGTTTTAGTACATGATAGCAAAAAAATTTCAGTTTTTAAACTAAATTACTCCACTATATAGATTCCAGAGGAAATGACCAAGGAAACTTAAAAATAGAAAATAACGTTAAGTGCAATGAAAACTACCTCTAAAAAGGACAAAAATAGATTTATCCAAGAATTGCCACAAATAAATTTGGCCTAGATGATATTACATGTAAATTAACTTAAAACTTCAAGAGAATATTTCTCTGCTATTCAAACTATTTCAAGGTAGGGAAAAAAATTTAAAATTCTCAATTTATTTTACTAAGCCTGCATAATTCTGATAATGAGCTGGTAATGAATACACACACACATACACATGCACACACTTACACATATACACATGCACACACACCTACATACATGCACATGTGCATTCACATGTATACACATGCATCCATACATATACACAGGTACACATGCACACATATACACATGCATACACACCTACATACATGCACATGTGCATTCATATGTATACACATGCATTCATACATATACACAGGCACACACTTACACATATACACGTGCACACACACCTACATACATGCACATGTGCATTCATATGTATACACATGCATTCATACATATACACAGGCACACACACATATACACGTGCACACACACCTACATACATGCACATGTGCATTCATATGTGTACACATTCATCCTATACACAGGCACACACACACATATACACATGCATACACACCTAC